ACCCTTCGGGTGATAAGGAGGTTCGGGGGGGAGGAACCAACGTCTCACTCGATCGGTCTCACTATCGATCTCACAATCGATCTCACTATCGGTCTCGCTCGATCGATATCATTCGATCGATCTCACAATCGATCTCACTCGGTCAATTTCATTCGATTGATCACATAATCGATCTGATTAGCGATCTCACAATCGATCTCAATATCGATCTCACCCGAGATCTCACAATCGATATCACATACGGTCTCAGTATCGATATCACTATCGATCTCACAATCAACGTCGCCATCATCGTCATCAACGCCACCAACATCATCATCATCATCATCATCATCGGGACACCATCATCATCATCATTACCTCATCACCATCCTCACCAAAATCATCATCATCACCATCATCATCAGCGGGACACCATCATCGTCACCTTCACCACCATCAACAGCATCAGCACCAGGACACCACCATCCTCATCATCACCACCATCATCATTGGAACACCATCATCACCTCATCATCCACCTCATCATGAACAACATCATCCGCATCATCATTATCCGGACACTATCATCATCAGCAACATCATCATCATCAGCATCAACATCACCATCATCGAAACACCATCACCATCGTCACTTTCATCATCACCATCATCATCATCATTTGGACACCATCATCACCATCAGCATCAGCATCATCATCACCACCATCATCATCGGGCCACCATCATCAAAATCAGCATCACCTCATCATCAATCTCATCATCAGCATCATCATCGGGACACCACCATCGTCATCATCAACATCATCATGAACGGGACACCGTCATCATCACCATCATCATCAACAGCATCATCATCAACTTCATCCTCATCATCATCGGGACACCATCATCTTCATATTCATCATCATCATCATCTCAGCATCGTTTCATTATCATCAGCATCATCAGGACCATCAGCATCTTCATCATCATCGTGGCACCATCATCAGCAACATCATCACCATCAGCATCGTCATCTTCGGAACACCATCGTCCCCACCACCATCATCTTCATCATCATCATCGACATCGCCAACGTCATCATCATCATCATCATCATCATCATCATCATCATCATCATCGGGACACCGTCATCATCACCACCATCACCATCATCACCAGCATCATCATCATCGACATCATCATCGTCATCATCATCATCGGGACACCGGCCCCCGGAAAGGAAACATTTGGTCCGGCCGCGTCTCAGCCAGAGGCGGGACACCGGCGGGACCCCGCGCGGCACCGGCCCCCCAGAGAGGAATCATTTGGTCCGGCCGCGCCTCAGCCGGAGGAGACTTTCTTCTCGCCCGCCCACACAGCTTCGCCTCGCCCGTACGCACGGCACGCCCGAACACAAAACCGAAACCGATTTCCCGGTAAGGGGGCTGTCCGTTCCACTTCGATCTCATCCCCTCACCTCCGATCTCTGCTGCATTTTAGAGCGGGATCGATGTGTGATGGTCTTGGGGTTGGAGATTAGGAGCAGGAGGCTCACCACCACCAGCACCACCACCACCACTTGGGGGGATCCAGGATGAGCTGGTGTGCACGATGTCTCACGAGAGTGCACGAAACGATATACCCCTCTGCCTCCATCATGACCGCCCTCTGCCTCCATCCTTCAGGTTGTGGTGGTGGTGGTGGTGGTGGTGGTGGTGGTGGTGGTGGTGGTGGTGGTCGTCGTCGTCGTCGTGGTCGTGGTCGTGGTGGTGGTGGTGGTGGTGGTGGTGGTGGTGGTGGTGGTGGTGGTGGTCGTAGTGGTGGTGGTGGTCGTGGTGGTGGTGGTGGTCGGAGTGGTGGTGGTGGTGGTGGTGCGTTTCCTTCTCCCCATGGAGACCAGGCGAAGGCAAAAGACGCCCGGTGTGAACAAAAGCGAGATGCAGCGCCCAGGTCTGATGTCTGCAGGCCTCGCCCCCCAAGGGGCCCGCGGCGATCCCCTCTGAGACCCCCCCGACCCAGGGGCAGCGTCGGCAGGGACGGGACCCCCACGGGTACGCACGGAGATCCCCACGGAGACCCCGACGGAGAGGCCCCACGGAGAGGCGAGACCCCCACGTGAACCCCCAGGGGCAGGAGATCCCCACGGAGACCCCCGGAGATCCCCACAGAGACCTCCCCGACCCAGAGGTGGGCCCAGGGGGGCGCATCGGCCCCCAATCGCCCGTGCATCGCCGATGTGGGCCCGCTGGCCCACCCCGCCCACGATCGTGGGGATTCGCTATCGGAGGGGCCTGTCGCCGTTCCATCGGCGATGCCTCGCCGATTCCAGGTCGCTGGTTCCCCCCCTGGGCCGGTCACCCCCCCAACGTTGCCCCCAGACCGAGGGGGGGAGGCGACGGAGCTGGCGCGGTGCGACGGCCCGGAGCGCTTCGAGGGCGTGCTCGAGAAGTTCATGGGCAACGTCGTCTTCCTCGGGGTCTTCTTCGTGTTCATGGCCTGCAGCGTGCGGCTGGAGGCGCGCCTCCTCCGGGGCCCGCTTCCCCCCCCCTCCACCCTCCCTCCCTTTCTCCCGGCTGTTCCTCGCCCTCTCCCTTCCCCCCTCCCTCCCTCCTTTCCTCCCTGCTACTCCTCTTCCTCTCCCTCCCTTCCGCCTTCCTCCCTCTTCCCGCTCCTCTAGCGCTTCGCGCCGTCCACCGCCCTCTCGTTTCTGCGCGTTGTGCTGCCTGGGGCTCAGGGCTGGGCCTCCCCTCGCTGGAGAAGGCGGCGGCCTTGACTAGAGCACGCCCCCCTGGGTTCTCAGGGTGAGAGCCTTTCATCAAGGCGGCTCGCAGACTGCTGCAATGCCGACTCCGACCGACCGCTCCTCCTCAGCTCCCTACCTCCACCCCGCTCTCCCCTCCCGCTCCCCCCCCCCCCTGCGGACCCCAGGGCCTCCCCCCTCCTCTACCCTCCTCTTCCTCGCCTCTTCCCTGGGAGAGGGAGGGGGGTGAGGGAGGTGGCGATGGTGTATACAATTATGTGTGGGCCCCGAGCCCTCCTGACCCCTCCCTGCCGCCTGCTGCACGCGTGGGGGCGTCTTCAGCTTCCACCCCGCCGTCTTCGGCTTCCTCCTCCAGTCGCGCCAAGGAGGGCCCGCCGCGCTCGAGGCCGCGGCGTCGGGCGCCCGCCGCCTCGATATTTGCTCGTTTTCTCGATCCCGATGCTCCGTGGTCGAGCGTCCTTGCGCGCGCGCTCGGGGGGCAGGGGGAGGAGGAGGAGGAGGAGGAGGAGGAGGAGGAGGAGGAGGAGGAGGAGGAGGAGGAGGAGGACGACGAGGAGGAGGAGGAGGAGGAGGAGGCGGAGGAGGAGGAGGAGGGGGAGGAGGAGGAGGAGGAAGCCACGGGCTGAGGAGAGATCCCCTCCACCCGCCCGCGCGCTAGGGTTCGACCGCCGTCGCCCCCTTCGTGCCGCGCCGCGGGCGATCGCAGGCCACAGCCGCGAGCCAGGAGGAGCCCTTCGGGCGCCCCGCCGCCGCCGAGTGCGGCAGGAGCAACGCCAGCTCAGGAGAGCGCCTGGCACAGGCGAGCCCGAGAGAAGCGCGCACTGGCGCGGCCTCTCCTGAGGGCCATCAGCGCGAGCAGGCTCCTCGGGGAGCACCACGGCGCTCAGCAGCCGCAGCACCACCAGCAGCAGCCCCAGAGCGCGGACGACAGGATGTCGCGCGCCGCGGCCAATGCGGGCCAGAGGAACAGGTCAGCTGGCCCAGCGGTTGCGGAGAGCCCAATGGCCTTGGCGAGCGCAGCGTGCTCGCAGCACCCAGCGCAACCAGCAGCACCAGACCAGCACAGGCTGGAACCTGCAGAAGTGGCAGGATGCTGTGTGGTTCCAAGGCCAGTGGAAGCAGAACAACTGGCAGGATGACGCGCCTACCAACAGGCGCAGGCGCAGACGCCGCAGCCACAGCGGCAGAGTGCCTTCACCGAGAAGCAGCGTGCTGTCCTCGACATGGTGCTGCCAGTTTCCTAAGAGGAGGCGCAAGGTCATGAGTCGTGGAGCCCGCCGCCGTCGGACCCAGAGATGCTCGAGGTCTGGAGGAAGACCAGGAGCCAGCGACTCGCTAGGCTGGCGGACAACATCGCAGGAGCTCGAACAACAGGGACTGAGTCTTCCAGCCTGGAGCACGAAGCGGCGGTCACGGCGGCGAACATCGCGTTCGTGATCCCGCCGAAGGAGAGGCTGCGACAGCTGCACTCCACCCTGGAAGGGGCCGTGGAGGAGCTCGCCAGCCCCCAGGCCAGGATCGCAGCGCAGCTGGGCGAGGAGGCCGAAGGCGCCAAGGTCGTGCGGATCTACAAAGTGCTGATCCGATAGACCAAGGGCACGATGGCGAGAACCGCAGCAGTGGCCCGCCTTCGGAGTCTGAGGCCGCAGATGGTGCGGGACAAGCTGGACGAAGCGGAAGTCGAGGTAGCGGGCGCGCGCACACACCGCATCCAGTTGCAGCCAAGCCTCCCAGGGCGACGCATCTGCAGGGCCCAGAGCCCCCGCCAAAGGCAGCGGCAGCAGCCCGCCCCAGGCCCCCAGCGGCACCCCAGCCTGCAAGCCACCCAGAGGACACTGCAAAGCTCAAAGCCCAGCTCATGGAGATGGAGCAGAGCCATGCGGTCAGACTACGAAGCTGCGAGCAGGCCTTGGCCCAGAAGACCTTGCATACAGCGTCCGACACACTGGGGCGCCAACAGAGAGCTCATCAACGCGAAGTGGACGATATCAGGAGCGCCGCTCACCGCGAACTCGAGCACGAGCAGGTTGCCTACCGCAAGTGGCAGAGTGGGGCCCAGCAGCACCAACAGGACGAGGCCGGCGCAGCGCTACGGCAGATGCCGCGCCACCTCGCCATGCAGGCCCAGGAGGCGCTCCAGGAGCAGAAGAGGAGCTCCGACCAGGAGATGCGAGCGCTGGTCGAGGCTGTGAACAGGGCTCGGCGCGGCGAGGGGGATCGCGCGCAGATGGCACGCCGAGAGCGCGAGCGCTGTCATCATACCCAAGCAGAGCTGGAGGGAGCCTCGGAGGCGAAGCACGCAGCGGAGCTGGGCCAACAGGGGGCCCAGGTAGGACAATAAATGATCCTCGAGCTCCAGGCCAGGCAGGCGGTTGTGGAGACGCATCGCGCGCAGCAGGAAAGGCGCCGCACCGAGTTCGGCATGGGGCAGGCCGAAGCCCGCCAGCAAGGCAAGCGGCGCATCGTGGAGGAGGCTTGGCAAGCATGTGACGATCAGCCGCAGTTCATGGCTGCCGTCGGCCAGGCAGAGCGGGAAGCGCATCGTGCCAGCCACCGCCACCTCGAGCATCAGGCAGAACAAGCGCAGCACGATGCCTACCAGGACCTACAGCGGGCCCAGCACGACAACGCGAGGAGGCAATTGGAGATGCAGGGCCGCCACGAGAAGGAGACGGCGGAGCTCAACAGCGCCCGCCGGCGCGCCCTTGTGACGAACGCGCTGGCGGGCGAGACGCTGGAGCTCGATATTCTTGAAGAGATGGCGGCCAAGCTTGCGGACGACGGCGCAGTCATGGACCGCGACCGGGCGACTGCAGCTCAGGAGGAGGACCACCAACGCGAGGACTTCGAGCGCGACCTGATGGCCATCCCCCTCCACTGCGGAGTTCGATCGCCCGCGCCAGGGCGCAGCGGTCTACGCGCGCGAGCTCGCTGCTTGCTCCTTTGAAAGGTCGCGCGCCTCGTCGAGGCCTTCGACGACGCCCGACAGTGACTTCAGCCTGCAGGACCTTGGAGTCGCGCCGACAGAGAGCAACACCACCCTATTGCCGAGGGAGGAGCTGCTGACACCGCCACCCACGACTCAGCTGCCGCCACGGGGACCCATCATCATGGAGGACTCCCAAATGGCCCCACTCGGCGACACCGATGACGCCGACCTCCGAGAGGAGCACCCATCCACCAACGCACACGCCGACGCCCGCTGACCTAGCAGAAGTTACCCAGACGATCGACGCCAACACGGCCATCCCCATCGAGCAGCAGACCCCGCGGGCGACGCCCTTCCCGCCCGCGACGCAGCTCCCAACCCCGCGACCCAAACGTGACTTACAAAACTCCAACACCCCTGCCACCAGCCATCGACTTAAGCACCGAAGGGCAAGCAGTACCAACCACGCCACCAAGGACCCTCCTTCGCCGACATCACGCCCGCCGAGACCTTCGACCCCGAGTGCCCACCGCCCAGGTTCCACATGGGGATTCCAGAGAGGACATCTCCCGAGCCCCCGCCCATGCGTTCGATGCGAAGGGAAACTGGACGGGGGCGAGCCAAGAGTCACCCCGGGAGTGTCAGGATCCGCGACACGGGCGACGGTTTCGCAGTCCCAAATGACAGATGCCCCAAGTGTCTCGAGAGCCGAGAGAGCGACGGATTCGACGTCGCCTGGCCCACTCCAAAAAATTGAATACGAGAGCGCTGGTGGAGGGGCAACCGGCTCAGCACGGCGCTTACCAACCAATGCCAGCTGCACCGCAGGACCACGAGCCATGCTTCTACGACTCGTGCAGTTTTGAAGCTACGCATGTGACCCCTGGTGACCCACGGTTTCTGACTGGCCGAAAACAGCCACGCGCAACCAACATCTCACCACCTTTGGCAGAGTCGCCGACGATGTAGGGCCTCGGGGTGGCCATGCACCAGACACCAGCGACAACTCCGCTAGGGAAAATATCAGACTTCCGCCTACCCACCATCGCCACAACCACGACAGTTTACGACGCACCAGCAACCGAGGCAGCGAAAAACGCAAAACCATCAGAATAGCACGGTTCACCAACGAAGGGAAACCAAGCTCAACTAACAACAGCGCAGACACCAATGAGGCATCGAGGCGACTCCCCCCGGGCCTCGTCGACGGCCACTAGTCACAACATCAGGGGGGCGATGTTCGCAGGCCGACACCTAGCCGACCGCGCAGTCTAGCTGCACCAGCCGCCTCGAGAGTGCAATACTTCGGGGGCGCACCTAGAAGATGCCAACTTGGAATACTCCCTCAGCGACTGACAAGCCGCCCCAGCAACCGCCACCGATCGCCTCGAGAGTGCAATACCTTGGCGATGGAGAAGCCCGACGCCCACCTGAGCGACTCCCCCAGGACGGCAACACATCACCACAACCCAGCAGCACGGCACACCGGGCCTCAATGGCCATAGCGACGAATGCCGACCAACGACACGATGCCCACCTGAGATACCCCCTCAGGACGACACTCGACGCATCAGGATGGCACTCGACGTACTGGGAGCACAGGCCGAGAGGCTGACCTACCAGACGATAGATGACATGAAGAAGTTGATTGGAGTTGGACCCAGGAACATCCACTCGGCCAGCCCTGCTAGCATGCGCCACGAGAGCACTGACAGCAGGAAGACAACGCCAATCCAGAGAGCGGGTCGCGCTGGCCGTGGATTCAGCCCCCCCCCCCCCGCCCGATGCATTCCAGGAACGGAGCGAGAGATAAGGCGATTAGCCA